AATGCACCCACACATACAGTGTGCATAATGCACCTAGGAAAATAATACATGATGGAATTGCAAGCTTGGCAAAAACGTATAACACACACATCATTTGTGTAAAAATATGGCACCTCCAGCTGATTGATGGTGCTGTTCAGGTTAACTATATGCTTACAGATTTTATGTCTGTTTGATCTGTCAGTTACTGATAGAGGAGTGTTGAAGCCTCCAATTATAATAGTGGATTCATCTATTTCTACTTGCAGTTTTATTAGTTTTACCATGTATTTTAATGCTCTGTTGTTAGGCACATACACATTAAGAATTGTATGTCTTCTTGGAGAATTGGCACCTTTATCATTATTTAATGCCTCTCTTTGTCATTCATAATTTTCCTTGCTCTGAAGTCTGCTTTGCCTGAAATTAATATGGCTCCTTCAACTTTCTTTTGATTAGTGTTAGCATGATATAGCTTTCTCCACCCTTTCACTTTTAATCTATCTACATGTTTATATTTAAAGTGAGTTTCTTGTAGTTGGGTCTTGTGGTTTTTGTTTATTTGTTTTTAATCCACTGTGACAGTTGCTGTCTTTTAATTGGTGTACTTAGACCATTCACATTTAAAGCTATTATTGATATAGTTGGATTAATATCTACCATATTTGTATGTTTTCTACCCTTGTTCATTGTTTAGTTTATTGTTTTTGTCTTCCATTCTTTTTCTACCTTCTTTAGTTTTAATTTAGCATTTTATATAACTCCATTTTCTCTCCTCTTTTAGCATATAAATTATACTTCTTTTTAAAATCCTTTTAGTGGTTGCCCTAAAGTTTGTAATATACATTTGCAATTAATCTAAGTGCACTTTCAAATAACACCACACTGCTTCACAAGTAGTGCAAGCACATCATACCAGAATATTCCCAATTCCCCCATCCTATCTCTTATTACATCGCTGTTATTCATTTCACTTATTCATAAACTATAATCACTGAATACATTGTTGTTATTATTTTGTACAAACTATTATCCACTAGATCAATCATGAATAAGAAAAAATAAAAGTTTTTCTTTTACCTTCATTCATTCCTTTTCTCTTCCTTTTTTTATGTCAACTGTGTTTCAGACCTATGTCACTTTCCTTCTCTCTAAAGAACTTCTTTTTAACATTTTTGCAAGGCGTGTCTACTGGCAACAAATTTTCTCAATTTTTGTTTGTCCAAGAAAGCCCTTTTTTCCCCTCCTTCACTTTTTTTTACATTTAATATATATTTTATTTTGTACAGTATATATATATCTTTTTTTAATTGTATTGTTATTTAGATGAAAGTTTACAGCATAAATCAGTTTCTCATTCAAAAATTTATACACAAATTGTTTTGTGACACTGGTGACATTGGTTGCAATCCTCAAAATATGTCAATACTCTCCCCCTTTCCCTTTCCACCCTGGGTTCTCCGTGTCCATTAGTCCAGTTTTCCTGTCCCTTCCTGCCTTCTCATCTTTGCTTTTGGGCAGGTGTTACCCATTTGGTCTCACATACTTGATTGAACTAAGAAGCATGTTCCTCATGTGCGTTATTGTTTGTTTTATAGGCCTGTCTAATCTTTAGCTGAAAGGTGACCTTCTGGAATGGCTTCAGTTCTGGGTTAGCAGAGTGTCCGGGGGCCATAGTCTTGGGGGTTCCTCCAGTCTCTGTCAGATCAGTAAGTCTAGTCTTTCTTTGTGAATTTGAATTTTGTTCTACATTTTTCTTCTGCTCTGTCCCAGACCCTCTATTATGATCCCTGTCAGAGTGGTTGGTGGTGGTAACCAGGCATTATCTAGTTGTTCTGGGTTCAGAATATGGGAGGCTGTGGTTCATGTAGTCTATTAGTCCTTTGGACTAATATTTTCTTTGTGTCTTTGGTTTTCTTTATTCTCCTTTGCTCCAAATGGGATGAGACCAACAGATGTATCTTAGATGTCCACTTACAAGCTTTTAAAATGCTACTCACCAAAGTAGGATGTAGAACATTTTCTTTATGAATAATATTATGCTAATTGACCTAGATGTTCCCTGAGACTATGGTCCCCAGTCCTCAGCCCCAGTAGCTCAGTCCCTCAAGGTGTTTGGAGATGTCTAGACAGTGTCTATGACTTTGCCTTGGTCAAGTTGTGCAGACTTCCCCTATATTGTGTATTATCTTTTCTTTCACCAAAGTTAACATTGGTCTACTATCTAGTTAGTGATTTCCCCTCCTCTCCCTCATAATCATCATAGATTTTTTCTATGTGTAAACCTTTTTTTGGGTTTTTATGTTAGAGGTCTCATACAATATTTGTCCTTTTGTGACTGGCTTATTTCACTCAACATAATGTCCTCCAGATTCACCTATGTTGTGAGATGTTTCATGGATTCATTGTTGTTTTTTGTCATTGCATAGTATTCCACTGTGTGTATGTACCATAATTTGTTGATCCATTCATCTGTTGATGGGCATTTAGGTTGTTTCCATCTTTTTGCTATTGTGAATAATGTTGCATTTTTTTCTTTACTTTTGAAGAATAATTTCACTGGATACCAAATTCTAGGTGGTGTTTTGTTTGTTTTCCTTTCAACACTTTAAATATTTCACTTCATTCTCTTCTTGCTTGGATAGTTTCTGAAGAGAAGTTCAATGTAATTCTTATCCTTGTGTCTCTGTAGATAGCATGATTTCCCCCTTCTGGATTCTTTCAAGATTTTTTCTTTGTCTTTGATTTCCTGCCTCTTGCATATGATATGCCTAGGTGTAGATTTTTTATGCTTATCTTGGTATTCTCTGAGCTTCCTGGATGTGTGGTTTGGTGTCTGCCATCAATTTTGTAAAATTCTCAACCATTGTTCATTCAAATATTTCTTCTTCTTTTCCTTCTTCTTCTAATATTCTCATTATGTGTATGTTACAACTTTTGTAACTGTCCCACAGTTCTTGGCTATCCTTTTCATTTTTTTTTTTTCCTCCTTATTTTTAAGTTTGGGTAAGTTTTTATTTACTTGTCTTCAAGTTCACAGATTCTTTCCCCCAGTCTACTAATTAAGCATTCAGAGGCATTCTTCACTTCTTTTACAGTGCTTTTTATTTCTAGCATTTCTTTTTGATTCTTTCTTAGAGTGTCCACTTCTCTGCTTACATTCATCATCTGCTCTTGCATATTGTCCACTTTTTCCATTAGAATTCTTAGCATATTAAGCATAGTTATTTTTAATTCCCAGTCTGATAATTCCAAAATCAATGCCATATCTGAGTTTGGTTCTGATGCTTTCTCTTCAGACTGTGATTTTTTTGTTTGTTTGTCTTATAGCATGCCTCATAATTTTTGTGTTGGAAGTCATACGTGATGTATTGTGTAAAAAGAACTGAAGCTGATAGGTCTTTGGTGTGAGATTTAATGTTTATCTGACTAGAAATTAGTCTGTGTTTACTGTTTGCTGTAGCTGTGGTGTCAGAGGCTAAAATTTCCTCTAGTGTTCTTGTTTTTGTCTCCCTTATTTTTGTGTTTCCCTAGAGACTCCTTCTTAACTATGGTCTAAGGTTTGCAGTTCTTTTAGCTGTAATCCCATTTTTTTATACAGGAGCCCTATTAATGTGAAGGTAAGACGTAGGGGGAGGGGACTCATTTTATAATTCTATGATTAGGTCTCAGTCTTTTAATGAGTCTGCGTCACTGGTGTGTTAACTTCACAGGTGCTTCTCAGCTTTTTTTAACCCCTTCTAGTTAAGACAGGAAGGCTGGGGCAGGGGGTGGGTGCTAGAATCGTGTATTTACTTTCCCTCATACTGTTTTTTTTGGTTCATATTGGTTAGGTTCTGATAAAATCAAGGTTGGTTAGGTTTTGGGAAAATAGTTTCTCTTGAAAGCAGGCCATGTTAGAGAGAACAGAGGACTCTGAGGGTATTTCAGATTGTTACTTTTCCCTTCCCTTTGCCAGAAGCTCATGGAGACTTTTCTCCAATATTTACCCTGAGAATATGATGGGGCTTTAGAGGTACAATTCACAAAAGTGTGGGGACCTCCCTAAGACTGGGAGTTTTTAATCTTTCAAGTCAGTCCAACTCAAGTGGACCCCACGGGAAGGGCTAGTAGAAAGGCTGAAGATAGATGCTCTGGATTTGAAGCAGGGAGATCCCAAGAGAGGAGGCTGCACAGAGGGAGATGAGAGCTGATGCCCCACTTGCAGTCCAGCACGGGCACTGTGTAGGGGTTAGAAACAGAGAACCGAAGACCCAAGAAGCAATCACTGTACCTGACCCAGGAAAGAGCTGAATCATGGCCAATCCATCCTTGGTCTAAAATAAAAAGAATTTCTGCTCTCTCCCAAGCAGAAGGAAGGCATGGGGTCATGGACCCACCCAGCCAGGAGATGGAAAGAGGCACTTTGGTCATGAGCAAAGGTCCAGAACACAAGGCCAAGAGGTCAGGGTTCAGTCACAGCCTGTCCCTCACAAGCTGTGGCCCTGAACAGATCATTCAACACCCTGGACTCAGGATTCTTCCTTCACAAAGTGGCAGCAACCCTTTATACAGACGAGTGTTGGCTTCATCCAAATGTCAGTGGTTGTCCACAGGCTGCTGCTGATGTTGACCAGACAGTGCTCCCAGCACATGAAGGAGGACCCAGAACATTCCTACTCTCTCAACATCCACCACCCTCATGGGCTCCATGGACCCAAGTTGGGATCATGCCCCCTAACTCCTGCTCCTGTGGGACCACAGAAAGAGATGGGCTACCGAGAACCAGACTACCTGTGGATATTTACGAGCTTGACAACACCCACAGTAAACAAACATCCCTGGTGTGGTCTTGAAAGCAGCTCTGACACGAACCAGGAAGGAAAGCTCGCGGAGCTTTTGTTGAGACAACATACAATATGAGTGATATAAAAGCTAGGCAGCCCAGAGCACCTCACACACTCACTCACACTTACATACACGCACTCACTCACACATTCACTCACACCCTCCTTCCATCACCTCCCCTACCCCCCCCCACCATGGCTGCATCCACCATGTCCGTCTGTTCCAGTGACCTGAGCTATGGCAACCGCTTCTGCCTGCCTGGTTCCTCTGAGTCTTGTACTGGCTCCTCCTAGGAGGTGGACGACTGCCCTGAGAGCTGCTGTGATCCCCCATGCTGCACCCCCACCTGCTGTGCCCCAGCACCCTGCTTGACCCTCCTCTGCACCCCCATGGGCTGTGTGTCCAGCCCCTGCTGCCAGGTGGCCTGTGGATCCAACCCCTCCCAATCAGGCTGCACCAGCTCCTGTGAACCCTCCTACTGCCAGCAGTCTAGCTACCGGCCCTGTTCCTGCACTTCCATCCCCTGCCAGCAGGCCTACTGTGTACCTGTCTGCTGCCAGCCCCCTGTCTGTTCCCCATCCTGCTGCAAACCCACCTCCTGTGTGTCCCTGTTCTGCCACCTGTGTGCAAGCCCAACTGCTGTGCGCCCACCTCCCCCTGCTGTCTCCCTGCCTCCTGTGTGCCTCTGGTCTGTCACCCCGTGTGCCCCCATCCAGGCTGCAGTGGCCCCTCTTCCAGTCAGAAGTCCTGCTGCTGATCAAGCATGCCCCTCAGGGCCAGCTGGGATCTAAGTCCCACCGTGGCTGATCTCCCCACACCCTCTCTCAGTCTGAATTCTGAACCCATTAGGCAGCTACCCCCATGTTAGCTCAGGGCACCCTCATATCTTTACAGTCCTGACGTGACCTTTGCCCCCTGACCTCCCTGGAAACCACCAGCCTCACTACTCCCAAGTCTCTGCCTCCATCTGCCTGCTGGGGTTCCCTTTCTCTCCTCTCAGTTTCTGGGCTCCGTGTCACGTAGCCTCAACTTCTAGTCTGTCAGCATCTCATTGGGCACCTGAATAAAGTCACCTTGATCACCTGATCTGTTTTCCTGTCATCAGAACCTCGTGGGAGAACATACAGTTTTGACCAGATGTTGGTCTCCCCCAGACACAAATACTCTATGAATGAATGACTTACCTTGAAAATCACAAAGGCAGAGGCCTGACTCCTCTGGGAAGGTTTCTGTAACTGAAGCCCTACCCAGGAAGGCTCAGGTGCTGCTCCATCCTCCCGCCCAAGGCTCCCCCAAGGCTGGTCATCCATAGACTCACCATGGTCTGCCAGGGTGGTTCTCCAGGCCCCTGTGGAGCCCCTTCCCACCCACTGCTCTTCCAGGAAAATCTATCCCATCAGAGGTGCTTCTAGGAAATTGGCTTGTGGCTCCATGCCCAACAGTCTTTTTGGTCTGGGGTCACGCAGGTGTCCTACTCATTTAGCACAAACACAATGTTAGTGAAAGCGGAGCTTGGCCCAAGGCCAAAGGAGTTAAACTGACTTTATCTGTAATCAGAAGCAATCAAAGAATGTACAGGATTCTGCACAGCCAGAACCCTGCTCTGAGTGTCCCATTCTGGGTAGATCTGAATTTTGTCTAGGGACTGTAATGGACACATGTAATCATGGCTCCCACCTGATGACCATGTGTCTGTGCCCAGTAAAGGGACATATAGCACTGTGGTCAGGCTTTATCTACCAAGGTGCCCACACTTCCGTTGATATCCACCATACTAAAGTCCATTGTGATGGAAAGCTGCGAGAAGTGGCAGGACATAAGCATCAGCTAGGGCATGGGGACTTGGTGCAAGGTGGCTCTTTCAGGCTTGAAGACAAGCTCTCTCCAGGCCTAATCACAGAGAGAAAAACCTTTCCCTACCTCTGGAAAAGCCATTTATGATACACAAATAACAGCATCCAGGATGTTGAAAGGGACTCCCCAGGATGGGTCAGCCAGACAGCCTGATGATGGTCTTTGGTTCTGCCACGGCTGAGGACAGAACTGGAATGAGAAATGGTACAAAAAGTATAGTCAGATTGAGGCTTCAGCTTTACGTGGTTGCTGTCCCCTGAGGTATCTGCAGCCTTGAGGGACACCAACCTGGGCCTGGCTCTCCCTGTTCCTGCTCTTAGCTCTGTTACCCACATCCTGAGGCACATTCACCAACAGTATCATCAGATGGTTGTGGGTTACTCACCTGGTGATAAATTTGTAGGCTGCTTGCTCTGATTCTCTCTACAGTGGCTTGTTCATATTCTGACCCCTTTTTCTATTAAATTATTTGTATTTTTCACATGGATTTCGGGCTGGAAATGTTTTGTTTATTATACATAGTCTAAATATTTTCTCCCAGTCATTGCTTCTTTTTTAGTATACTCCTTGAGATTAGAAATGTATCTTCTAAATTTAAGTCTAATATTTTTATCAATTTTATTGTTTAGATTTATCTTTTTAATCCATTGCTAATATAACTTGTGTGTGGTATAAGATAGTAATCTTACCCCCCTCATCAATAGCCAACTGTCTATTTTTAAAAGTTGAATAGTCCGCATTCTCTATCTACCCATTTGCAATGTCTCTATTATCTAATACAAAATCCCTATACTCCAGACACTAAAGGATAAAAGACTAGTGAACTTGAAGACAAAACAATACGAACTACCAAAAATGAAGCACAAAGAGAAAAAATAAATGAACAAAGCATTAGTGAGCCTCTAGCCAGACAAAGGGAAAAAAGAAAGAAAGAAGACACAAATTACCAATATCAGGAATGAAGGAGGAGGCATTACTACAGATGCCACAGACATAAAAAGAATAAAAAAGAAATACAACAAAAAGTTCTATGCCCATAAATTGGACAATTAAGATGAAATGGACCAAATCCTTGAAGACACAAACTATCAAAACTCACTTGAGAGAACAGATAACCTTAATCACCCTGTATCAATTTTTAGAACATTAAATGCATAGTTTAAAACATTTCAACAAAGAAACCTTCAGGCCCAGATGATTCACTGGTGAATTCTACCAAACATTTAAAGAAAAAGAAAAGCCAATTCTATACAATCTCTTCCAGAAAATAGACAAAGAAAATAGAACACTTCACAACTCATTTTTAGAAGCCAACATTACTCTGATAGTTGAAACAGAGAAAGACATTACATGAAGGTAAAACTGCAGACCGATATCTGTCATGAATATAGACAAAGAAACCCTCAACAAAATATTAGCAAAACAGATCTTGCAATATATAAAAAGGATAATAAATCACAACCACTTTGGGTTCATCCCAGAAATGCTAGGCTAGCTCAACATTGAAACATCAATCAATGTAATTCAACCATACTAACAGACTAAAGAAGAAAAACAATATGATAATCTCAATGGAAACCAGAAAGAATTACAAAATTCAACTTCAGTTATGACTTAAAAAAAAAAAAAAAAACTCAGTGAGCTAGAAATAAAACACGAAATTCTTAACCTGATAAAAGGCATCTACAAAAAACTGATATCCAACACCATAACCAATGGTAAAAGACTGAATGCTTTCCCCTAAGACCAGGAACAAAACACAAACCTCCTTTCTCACCACTTCTATTCGATATCATACTCAAGGACCTATCCAGTACTATAAGGCAAGAAAAAGAAATAAAAGACTTACAGATTGAAAAAACATAAAACACTAATGACAGAAGTCAAAGAAAGCCAAAAAAATGGAGAAATATGCCATGTTCATGGGTTGGAATATTTGATATTGTTATGATGTCAGTTATCTCCAACTGACCTATAGATTCAAAGTAATCTCAGTCAAAATCCCAGCATGATTTTTTATAGATATTGACAAATTGATTTTAAAATTTGTTTGGAAAGGAAAAGAAATTAGAATAACCGGAACAATTTTGAAAAATAAGAACAAAGTTGGAGGACTGACATGCCTGATTTCAAGATTTACTGTAAAGCTATAGTAATCTAGACAACGTGGTATTAGCAAAAGGAGAGATACACAGATCTACGAAACAGAATAGAGTACAAAAATAAACTCACACAAATAAAGTCAACTGATTTTTTTACCAAAGTGTAAAGGCAATTCAATGAGAAAGGAGAGTATTTCCTAAAAAGGCTTCTGGAAACACTGACTGTCCACGTGCAAATTAAATAAATAAATAGATAAACTTTGACCCTTACTTCACATTATATGTTGAAAATTAATCAAAATGGACCATAGATCTAAATATAAATCATAGAATTTTTAAACTTCTAGAAGAAAACATAGGAGAAAATCTTTGTGACCTCATGTTAGGCAAAAAAGTTCTTAGATTCAACACCAAAAGCATGATCCATGAAAGAAAAAAAATTGTAAATTGGACCTTATCAATATTAAACTCTTTACTCTGCAAAGAAATTGAAAACAAGTCACGGACTGGTAGGATAGATTTGCAAATCACACATCTGATCAAAGCATGTGTGTCCAAAATATATTAAGAATTCTAAGAAAAGAAGAAGAAGAAAACAAAAGAGGAGAGGCCCAGAAGATATGAAGAGACTTTTTACCAAAGAAGATGTATAATAAGCACATAAAAATATACACAACATCATTAGTTGTTGTTAGTTACCATCAAGCTGATTCTGACTCATGGCTACATGAGTTACAGGGTAGAACTGCTCCATAGGGTTTTTGGCTGTAATCTTAATGGAAACAGATTTCTGGGTGGGTTTGAACCGCCAACCTTTAGGTTAACAGTTGAGAGAAAACTGTTTGCGCCACCATTAGTTATTGTTGTTGGTGCCGTTGAGTCAATTCTGACTCATAGCAACCCTGCATGACAGAGGAGAACTGCCCCAAAGGGTTTCCCAGGCTGTAATCTTCAGGGAAGCAGATTGCCAGGTCTTTTCTCCCTCGGAGCTGCTGGTGGATTCGAACCACTGACCTTTCAGTTAGCAGCCAAGGGCTTAGCCATTGATTCGGGAATGCAAATTAAAACCATAATAAGATACCCTACACTTATTCTAATGGCTAAAATTAAAAAGACCGACCACACCAAGTGTTGATGGGAAAGTGGAGGAACCGGAACTCTCATATACCATTGGTATCAATGTAAAAATGTACAATCACCTTGGAAAACAGCCTGATAAATAAGGACATGTAAAGATAATCAATATATCTTTAGGCATATATACAAATTAAAATTATAACAAGATACCTATTAGAATGCCTAAAGTTATAAAAAATATAAAACCTCACAACATCAAGTACTGGCAAGGATATGTACAAACTAGAACTTCTATACAGTGCTGGTGGGAATGCAAAATGGTACAGCCATTTTGGAAAATAGTTTGGCAGTTTCTCATTAAGTTAAACATTCATTTACCATATGACTCAGCAATCCCACTCGTAGGTTTTTACCCAAGAAATAGGGGAACTCATTATCATGCAAAAACCTGTACACAATGTTTATAGCAGCTTTGTTTATAATTATTAAATACAGGACACAGCCCAAATGGCCTTCATGCATTGAATGGATAAACAAACTGTGATGATCCTATACAGTAGGATACTATTCAGCAGTTAAAAAAAAAATAAACTATTGCTGTCCATACCAACATGGATGAATCTCAAATGCATTTTTCTAAGTGAAAGAAACCAGACTTAAAAGGCAATGAAAAGGCAAAATTATAGTGATGGAATGTCAGAGATTGCCGGAGATTTTGGATGGGGGGAGGAGCTGCTACAATGGGGAAACACAAGGGAATTTTGGGGGGTGATGGAATTCTTCTGTATGGTATAGTGGTGGGTATAGAATGCTCAGCATTTATCAGAACTCCTAGAACTATACACCACAAAAAACTAAATAAAGAAGAATGAACAGTGATTTGTTCTGTAGGGTTAATCAAATGTATTTCCTCTCCCTGAAGAAGTTAAGAACCTTAACCTGCTTTTTGCTGATTTTTTTTGCTCTTCCTCACTTTTGTGTTCCACTTGCCTTTGGATTTGCCATTTGTTTTGTTGGACCATGTACTCTCAGGATGTTGTCATGGATAGTTTATGAGTGGCAAGCTTTCAGTACAGCTGTACATCTGAAAGGCTTTCATTGTCCTTACACAGGATGGTTCGCAGAGTTACACGCAAAGTCATTTCACTCCCTTAGACTTCGAAGATTCTGCTCCATTGTCTTCAGGCATCCAGATCTACCGAGTTGAAGTAGGATGCAAATCTCTTGGGATGCTTTTAGGACTTTTTCTTTATGTTTGATGTCAGAAATTTTGGCAGTGTGTCTAGACGTACATGGTTTCCCATTCATCCTATACAGTATTTGGTCAGAATTTCCAATCTAAAGGCTCTTATTTCCCTCAGTTCTGGGAACTTCTCTTCTATTTGTCCCTTTCACTGGTCTCTCTTTCTGGATCCATTTGGTGACTGTTGGCTCGTCTGAAAGCACCTTCTGTTTTTCTTAAGTTTTAGCTCTTCCATTTCTGTCGTTCTGTGCTGAGTTTCGGAGACTTCTTTGTCCGTCCATTTTTTACTTCTCTCTTTGGCTGGTCTCTTCTACCACGCAGTCCATCTTCTGTTCGGGGTGGGGTGGGGTAGTCCCACAGCCGATGAGCAAGTCTGCCCAGACTTGCAGCTCCATGATGCTGTCACCGAGACGCTGGGATTTGTGGTCTCCTGTCCTGCAACATTACAGAGAATGGGGAGGCTTGGAGACGTCCCTGAGAACAGAGCAAGCAGAGCAGGCTGCACGCAGGCAGGGGCTCCAGGAGCACGTTTTTCCCCAAGGTGAGGTCCACACGGTTGTCAGCCACAACCAGGAGTTTCACAGGCTAAGCAACCTCCTTTGTATAAATAAAGCAGCACTAATGAGGGCTTCCAGCACGGGTTCTAACAACAACACGGAAGGGGAGGCTTGTTGAGCCTCTTGTTGGAACAACACAAGCCAGAGAGGGATATAAAAGCCTCAAAAACCAGAGCAGCTCACACACTCACAGACTCACTCACACCCTCACACCCTCACACACTCACAGACTCGCTCACTCACACCCTCCTCCCAGCTCACCTCCTCCCACCCCACCATGGCTGACACCTGCTGCTCCAGGACCTGTGTTCCAGCTGCGTCCACCGTGTCCACCAGCTCCAACGACAGGAGCTATGGCAGCCGCATCTGCCTGCCCAGCGCTTACACCGGCTCCTCCTGGGAGGTGGACGACTGCCCCGAGAGCTGCTGTGAGCCCCCCTGCGGCACCTCTACCCGCCGTCAGCCCCCCTGCTGTGCCCCTTCCTGCTGCCAACCCACCTGCTGTGCCCCTACCTGCTCCACGCCAGCCCCCTGCCTGACCCTCATCTGCGCCCCTGTAAGCCCCTACTGCCAGGAGGCCTGTGAGTCCAGCCCTTGCCAATCAGCCTGCACCAGCTCCTGCAAACCCTCCTGCTGCCAACAGTCTAGCTGCCAGCCTGCATGCTGCACACCC